ATTTTATTTTATTTTATTTTATTTTTTTCTTGTAAGGACTGATAAGAATAGTGCCATCAACTTGTCTTGATTTTTAGTGATGGAGCTGCCCATTTGCTCCTTATATGGCAACAATTAGGTTATCAAACAGATGGGACTTACAATGATATGAACCTGAACTAGAATCAGATCACATATATGTTTTATTTTCAACCACTGTTGAATATAAAATGGGGATGTCTTATGTACCTGACCAACATAATGTATTCTGGAAGAGATCTGAGATCTTCTGGAGCCATTGCTTCTGACTACCAGTCCCTGCACTATCAGTAAAACTTAGAATTAGTAACTATTAATTCTTTGGTTTTGCTGTGTAGTAGTTTTGTGAGTTACACTGAAGCTTCTATCAGATTGCAATATGCTAGTTATGTGGGATGCCAAACAACCTGTGAGATCCTACTCTGGAATGTTTGCAGCCTTAGACACACATTTTGCAACTAGCACTGCGTACCCAGTTTTACACTCTGCTGCTGAAATCTTACATCTGTGAAATTATGTGCTGCCTGAGTACCTAACAGACCTAGGTAGGTGTTTGATGATGTGTGTGATATGTCAAAAGTACATATATTGATGACATTGCTAAAAGATTTTCTCAGTTTATACCTCCTGCTTTAGAAAAGAAAAGCATTTTTTTTGTCAAAATGTTCTTTTGTATGCTGGGGTTGAAAGTCCAGGTTTATTCAGAGCTGCCATGTCCTTTTTTTAAAATTAGAAATGCAAGAAGATTGCTCAAAGTACAGATGATGTGATAGTGAACAAACCTCATGTTTCTGATGAAGAGGAGGAAGAACGTCCTTTCTATAATCATCCTTTTAAGCTCAGTGAACCCAAACCTATTTTTTTCAATTTAAGTGTGAGTACCTCTTTAAATTTCAGTATTTTAAGTTGTCATTTTAAAATAATGTGAATAATTTTACAGGCATTAAACAGGGATTGGTAATCTTGGTGAAATTGCACTAGGATGTTGTTAGAAGTGCACCTTGCTACAGTAACAAACTTACCTGCAGTCTATGAAATTGTGGTAGTTCCCGTAATAGGATTGAAACTGTTCTTTTTATTAATGTATTTGCAGTTTGTAAAGCTTAAAAGACAAAGAGGATTGGTTTCACTTCATGTTTTCATCACAGAAATGCCAGTATGGATTTGCAAATGGCTTTAGAATTGGAAAATGCTTTTGGAATTGCGTTTTTTTTCTTTAAAGACAAACAAAAGACCCCCAGCAAAGTTCAAAAAGCATTTTGAGGTGTTTCTAAGTAGGATGATGCCATCAGCTTGTGCAGACTCCAAATCTTGTATGTTTGTCTGCTTCCTCAGTAGATCTCAGGTGTTCATTAAAAGAGAACAAAGCTCTGTTAGTTTTGAGATGAGCCAATAGAGAAGTAAATGTTGTGTTAAGAATGAGGATCACTGATGTTGCCTGTTACTGAGAGGATCTGAATGAACCATTAAACCCCTTCCTTGGGGGGTTGCATATGACTCTTGTCAGAGGTTGTGTTGGCACTTCTGTGAGTATGAGCACGTTGAATAAAATCAAGGAGTGTTTCTTTAAATGCATCTGAGGTCTGTATACTTTGAAGCGTGGATTAGATAGAATTTGTCTAGTTTTGTTGTTTCTGTTTTGGTTTGCTTATTTTACTGTTATATTTTTGGGTTGTTTTTTGTGCCCATGAAAGTCTACTCTGATTTTGTAGGGTATAAAGTACTATAGAAGTATTAATGTGCTAAGTGAAAATACAAATAGCATTTATATTTTTATGTACAAATACATATAGCTTGTGGTATACACAAAATAAGCAGAAACACATATTTGCGTAAGTTGTCAGGTAGGATTTAGACTTTATAATGTGGTGCAATGAAACTCCGGAAACCTTGGGATTCTTACTGGCTCCAAAGAGGAATGTCCTTTAGTGGTTACGGGCTGCTGTACCTGTTCTCCACAGTTTTGAGCTTTTTAGCATCATTCTTTCCTTCCTTTCTGGATTCTAGTCTTGCTACCGTTCCTTTGGTAGTAGGAGTTTACCCAATATTGTGAGCTGTCTGGACTCTGTTTTCGTTTTGGAAGACGAACCTGTAGATTTCTGCAGGCTCTTAGTGTATTAGCAAAACTGTGTAAGGAAAGCAAGCTCATGGACTTAAATGTACTTTGAGATTTATGCTGCTATTAAAAATAATAGAAAATTAGAAGACAAAATGTTGAAAATGGCTTTGTCTATGTATAATAATATAGAGATTTTGATCGTCATGTGGATATCGCAGACAATGTATTTTGCTGCGCGGGATTTTTATTTTGGGGCTTTCCATTACAAAATACACGTATAGCAGATTAAGATTGTTCTCTTTAGGATGAGGTGGAGGGAAAGCAGGGAGGTTAATTGTGAGGGTGAGGTTTTGCGTATTTTTGGCTACAGAGGCTAATTTAAGTGATTTTAGCTTCTAGCTGTTTGTTTAGTTTTCTTGTATACTGCAGTTTGTTGCTCACTTGTGTATTTTTAGGGCTGTGCTAAAATTGTTATAAAAGCTTTTGGTTTGATGTTAGCAGGATGACTTTTATGAATATTTAATACCAAGTGTATGCAGTAAGTTGTTTCTCGAAGCCATGTTGTGATTATTCTGCGTTTTCAAGTTTTAACTTATTCTAATTTTATTTCTTTAAGACTCCCAGCATAAAACCAGCACCACCACCACAACCAAAAAATCAGGTCAGCCTGTCAAAGGAATTTCCTGTTTCATCTGGGTCTCAACATAGGAAAAAAGAAGCAGATAGTGTCTATGGAGAATGGGTTCCAGTTGAAAAAGGCAAAGACGATGGCAAGGATGATGTTTTCCCCAAACCATCCATTGAGGTAAGGAAGGGAAGGAAAGCATATCATATAAGAAAACCAAAACCGTTACCTGGTCAATCTGGTGTTAAATTGCAGTCTGTGAAGAAAAAGAAAAAAAAAAAGATTACATAGGTTAGTATCTTTAATAAGCTAATTACCTGAACTGCTGCGGTCTTCAAACTGGTCGCTGTGCCCACATGGGCAATGATGAAAGCAACCTGTACCCGTACTGTGTGCTTTTTTCAACTAGTGACTTCTTTGTCTCAATAGAATTTAAACTTTTGCTTGAAGATGGAAAGAAGTTTCTTGTCCAGTTTCCTGCAGAGGTTAATACCCTAAGTTGAGACTTTCATAATTATAAAATGAATAATAATTGAAATGATCCTACCAGTATCTTGCAGCAATAACATTGCATTGAAATGTAATCCATTAAAAACAGGTTGGAAAGTAGTTTCTGAAACTGCCATTGCATCTGAGTGTAACTACTAATTTTTCAGCTGTATAGTCACATTTTCTTACGTGGTTGGTTGTCTTCCATGTGGTCTTCCAAAGGAAAATCTAATTGTATAATAATAAACTAAAAAAAAGCAAATGTTTTTCCCCTTGAAATGCCTTCAAAAGGATATTTTGTGGGGTTTTTGTAATTAAGTAAATGAAATATTTAAGACAGATGTAAATTTTTTCATGTTGTTCAAGTTGATGTTAACCTCACTCTGCCTGAAGACTCGTTCTCATACCTTTCAAAGCAAATAAACAAAAAAGCTTTGGCATCAACTTCTGATGAAGAAATCTTACCACTTGGTGCGTTTCGTTTTTCAAGAACTTTCTAAGATTGTACAGTTCACTTCCTGAAGCACAGAAGGTATTTTCTTCTGGGTCTTTTACAGCACCAAAAGCACAATGAATATAACTTCCTCAACAGGTGTTTTCAGGGTATATACCTCAGTGTCAGGCACCCAAGTCATTGCCCTGTCAGTGTAGATGGTAACGGCTGCTTGGTGTTTGTCATGAACCACTAAGAAGACAAACATTTGGAAATGTTTGTGCAGAATGTAATTCTCCCAGTTACTACTGTATGCATAAAAAGTCCAGAGCATAGAAACACTGTACTAACATTTGGCCGTGTTTTTACCAGGCAGTCTTGTCCTTCAAATGATCAATGATACGCTCATAATTCAGGCAAGCCATGTAGATGTCTGCATCCAAGTTGCCAATGACGCTAGGCTTGTGTCTGACAAATGGGGTTAGCTAAGCACTGATGGTTTGTGTACTGATTATGTAGAAGAGGCCTTAAAAATTGATACGGGAGTAAATATATTGAACATCGCTTTCTTTCCTTTCTGTCACATGTATGTTTATAAATGCTTGTAACAATATTGTCTGTTTTTATATAAAATAAATACTTTTATTTGCCTTTATCTTAACTTGGTTTCTGTTAAGGGTGATTTCAAGGGTCATTAGCTGACAGCTGAGCATACTGTTCCCTTGGGTTTGCCAATCCTTGATTTTGAAATACAGAGCTACTTTTGCATTAGCAGAATCCCTGTGTGTTTCTCCAAGGAGTATGAAAGGTAACAGGGTGCTTCTCTGCTTAATTTTTTAAATGCTTATGGGAACTCTTTGTGGATGAAATGGCTTCCTTTGAGCAAAATAAGCCAGACAAGTCCCCTTGCTGGTGGAGTAGGGTAGTGGGGGAGTGTACTTAGATCCTCAGGAAGTCTGACGTAATAATTGACCTTCATTTATTGTTGCTGATGTTGAAATCTGATTGTGTCAATTCTGATCCAAGCTTATGCTGACATTAAAAAATAATATATAATTGGTTTTACTTTTACATTTTTATTGAGTCCCAGAATTAGAGTAATAAGCAGTCTGAAGTGGCCCTGCTAATATATAACAAATTGTTTTAATAAAACATTATGCTCTTAATATAGGTGTTTATGGTACTAGGAGATGGAGGAAAAATTAAGTAATCCCAAGTATCAGCATGTCTCTAGAAGCCAGAGAAACCTATGAGAAAGAAGCTCTATTTGAAAGTATGGAGTTGAAGTTTTGTATTTAAGTTTGGAGTATACACAGGTGACTTATGCGAGGAAGCCATTGTGATCCAAAAATGTAGTAAATGCATTTGGTGTATCAATGGACCTATGAAGTACATCAAAAATTTTTGCTTTCTATTGTCAGCCTCTTCCTTCTTGCTTCAGCATTTGTGATTTGTGTCTGTGGGAAAAATGTTACTAAAAGTCAGGATTGGAAAGGCAGAACTCTTACAGTTAACATGCTGACCTTGGAACTGTTTTATTTGACTAAATAATAACTTCTCATACTTCAAGCAGAGATTTTTGTTTTTCAAGATCCAAAGCTGCCACCGAGTGTCTTGACATAATACAAAGCCATGATGGTCTCCAAAATGGTGACTGACCATGTGGGGAAAGTGTATGGGATTTCTAACTAACCAGGGTATCTACTAATAGGCCCCAGTCCGGTAAAGCACTAAAGTACACATATGTGTTTAAGTATGTGAGTGGTCCCAATGTGGTTTCAGTGGACTACTTGCATGCCTATGTGTATTGCTGGATTGAAGCTTTTGGTGAGTAGAATAACTTTTATTTATCTCCTGAACCAGTTTCACAAACAGAACATTACAGAATTATTTTAACTATGTAAGGGAAACTTAGTAACTCCAGAAAGTGTGTATTTTAAACAGGTGTTGTTTTACATACATGACTGTCATGTTAGGTGATGGCTAGAGAACCTTTTAATTCTTCTTGTGCCTTGTTTATGATCTGTGTTTTTGTCAGTTGGGACAATAAGTGAACACTGAAGTCGGTTTCATAGACACACAGGACTTCTGGAATTTTAAGTCTGCCTTGGTCAGTGCCAGGTGTTTCTGCAGTGATCTTCCCAACAGAAACATTTTTTGTTCTAAACAGTAAAAGAAAAAATAAATAAATCTCTCATCTTGAAATAAAATCTGATAGACTGCAAAAATAATTTCTCTGTTTTATGCAATTGTACACATTCATCTCTGTCTCTTACTGTTTCCCAGTATTTACTAAATTCTTTGCCTGGTTCCTGGGACGGGGATTTTGTGGGTTAACTCTATTTTTCTGTTCGGTAAAGTCAATTTTAAATTAGTTTTGATTTCTTCTATTGGCCCTTTATTCTAGCACAATGTGTGAGAGGCTAAGGTTATGAGAAGTAACCAGAAAAAGATAGAAATCTTTTGTAAAACAAAACAATAAATAAACCATCAACCTAAAGTCTGTATGCCAGCTGCTGTTTTGATAATTTGGTTTCTTCTGTGCTTCAAACAGTTCCAGCCCTTCCAGTATCCTTCACATGCTCCTCTCCAAAGAAATCTCACTTGTCTCTGAGCACTCTTCTTTTTCTCCTCTCAAAATAGAATGATCCATAAAATGCACATCATCTGAAGAACAAGGCACAAGCAATTTTACAGAAGAGCTGTATGCTAGCCATTATTTATTACATCTTTATCACCCAAATATGTTGGATTTCTCTCTCGATTGCTTTGCACGTAGAGATTTGCATTCAGCTTCTTAATTTCCTGCGTATTTTTACCCAAATGATTCAGATTAGTTTGTGCGAGAGAATTTCAAATTAATTTTTCTTAAAAGTCCATTCTAGTTCTGCAGCACAGATCTAAATAAGCCTTTCCAAAACAATTAATTTTATGAGTTATGAAGCTGGATTTACCTTTATGCAAGTCTATTTTAGGCTGATGATTAAGATTTGAAACACTAAATAAAGTCAAGTTTGTGGAATACATCTGATTCTTGCTGTAATTTTTTTATAGCTACAACTTAAAGTTTCAGTGTGACTTAATAGTAGGGTGCTCATGTGAACAGCTCTGCATGAAGGCTTTTTTAAAAATAAATCTTTGTTAAATTACATTTAATTCTGTTGGTTGATAAGGTTCCATTGAACATTAATATGCTTCTCTATTAAAGTAGTATATGCTAGATTTGTTGGTGACCAAAATAGTTTGTTGAAAGTAATTATTCTGATATTTTATACGTACACGTGATACTAAATTACCAGGGTATTTAACTTCAGATTTTGTGTTTGTTTAGGAAACCCATGTTGTATATATTTAAGTAGTCCTAGGATTTTTTTTCATGTTGCCTATTTATATATCAAACCAACTATTCAATGTGTAAAACAACTCTGTGGTATTTGCAGCATTTAATCTACAACAACTTTTTCCAGATCAAATTGATACTATGGTAGCCTGATGTATTTTTGAAAATAATCTTTTTCTTCCTAGGGCGTGGACATAACTACAGCTATGAATGACCGAGCAGTGGCTCAGAAAAGGCTTAACGAAAACACGTTTGATCTGGAGGCCATGTGCATGTTAAATCGTGCACAGGAGCAGGTACGTTGCAAGTTTTCATCAGCATTTTGGTGAACTTAAAGCATGCACATGTTTACCCTTCATACCAGCTGATTTTTCTTGCATGCTTAAGTACAGGATTTTGGAAGCCCGATTTAAGGGCACGTGTTTAAAAACTCTGCATTTATTTTGCACTTCATAACCCTGATTTTGAGGATAAGCAAACCATGTAGATCTAGCATAAACTTGCTAGATTTTGAGCTCAGACTTCAGGGTTAACATACAAAGATGCTCAGGTTTTTGGAGTTTCTGCTTACAAATAAGCGTTAATGAACACAGCACTAAGGGTAGGTGAGGAATCAATAGGAAAATTATTGAGAAGCAACAGAGAATTGTAAAGGAAAAATGTGCAAATTTTTATTTTGGTCTTACATTTGATTTTTACTTTGCAGATTGACGCCTGGGCTCAATCAAACCACATACCTGGCCAATTCACAGGAAGTACTGGAGCACAGATACTGTCCTCAGATGAACTGTCCAACAGTGGTCCCCAAGCATGGATTAGAAAGGTAGAAGTCATGCAGACGTACTTGTTTGACTATAACGCTTTAAATAGCACTGAAAGTATCAGAAAATACAAAAAATGTGCCTTAAAAACCTGTGGTAATGCATGTGTCAAATGCAGCAGGTTGAGTTAAATCATTGTCTGATCAATTTAGATACCTCCTGTGGCTGTGTCCATTTTTTTTTTGTGCATTAAGGTGTCGCTCATGATATAGAGTACTTCAATAAGGTGTGTGACTGGGATTTGAGACAGGTTGGTTCGTATATACTGTTACCTTACAGTGAAATGACATTCATGATGCTGGTATGGTTGCAGTGGTAGGTCCATCACTACTTTTACAGGACTGGGACAGATCAGGCAAGGTTTGATCCTGATGTTACTGAATTCGGTGGTGTTTTGGCATCAACTTCAGTGAACCAAGTCCCAAACTGCTGTTTTGTTTGACTTGGTTCTATCTGACTGGTACTTTGCCTCTATTTGTATATCACCAGGGTTTTCTGGGAGCCAAAGATCTGGAGTATTAAACCAGGAGTTGCAGTTGGGTTATTACGTTTAATGTCATCCTTACAGTGAAATAGTTACCAGTAATACTGGCTTATTTTGGGGGTGTGGTGCGTCATACATACATGTGTTTTAATAATTCATGCTTCATCTTTGAAAATGAATACTGAACTGGTTCTCTTTCAAGAAGTAGAACTGAGGAATCCAAGCAATATGTATCTTTCAGGCAAAAAGAATGAGTTATGATGGTCAATCTTGCAAGTCATGTAGCTGTGTTATACACTGTATCTGCTTATCCTTCCAGAACACAGTTTTAAGACAGTCTTCAAAACTGGTAGGTTAGATTTGAACCTTAGGTAGAATTTTCCATAAAACTTGGTGTAAACTGAACATGAAAGTCTGGAATTACATCATCCTAAAAATAGAAGTATTTTTGCCAAGATTCACTAACTTGGTTTTCTACTTCATGTAGCCAAGCAATACAGAGAGCCAGGCAACACAGCGATCTAAGTTACTTGCTAGATGGGAATACTTTAGGCTTTTATCTGTGCTTATTGATAGAGTCTTACTTTAACAATTATTAACTTCAGAGATTGTAACAAAATGTTGGCTTTGATGATTACTCTAATTGTCCCCAGCAGAGCAACTTAGAAATGTAAAGCACTCAGCAGGGATGTGTTGGTAAGGAGAGGAGAGGTTTTCCACCATGAGACTTGTGAAAGAGATCAGCAAGCCCATGAGGGTTCTCTCTTTCTGCAAGACCTTGAGCGTGTTCCCAAGGCAATGAGCATCTCTGCTCATCTCTTTCCCAAACCTTCTCTTCTCATCGTGTTTTCATTCCTTGAGGTTCAGTGGTGGTCTTCTGTGCCTTAAAATAACAGGAGTGTCCGCTGACAAAAATTAGGTGAAGGCAAGTGTGTTTTCCCTCTGTCTTTTAACTTCACTCTGATCTGCTTTAAAAAAAATAAAAAGTCAAACAAAAAATAGCAAAATGCTTTATAGGGAGAAAATGGGAGAAGAGCCTGGTCTTGGGCTTGCAGACATGACTGTTGTGAGGAACAGAAGCACGTTGGAACATTTTGTTCCAGCTGAAGCACTTCTGTCCTTCCCATAGCTGTAAAAATGTAGTGGTTTGCAGTAGTAGGTATCCTCCTTAGCAGGCATCATGTGGTTTGTCAGAAAGGAGGCTGCTACTGGAAACAAGAAGAGTTATTGGGTGAAAAAAAGGAGGACACGGTCCTCTCTCCTGCTCTGGCATTCCTCAGCTTGACTTCTGCTCTTTCCAGGTTCCATATTCGCACACACATTGCCATCAAACTCGTGAGATGACAAGTAGTTACAGTCACACGCCCGCTACAGAATGCATTAGGGACTACACAAGACTCGCCTTGGGTTTTTTTTAGGAACGATGGGGCCTCTGAAAGCCTTCACAAAACTTAGGTTTGATGAACTTAACGTGGAGTCACATCCTGTGACCTAGAGAATGATTTCACAGGAAAAAAAGTGAAGTAGGGATAATGGGTTATGAATGCATGTTATCTTTCTCAGTGGTATGAATGCAAACCAACCATGAAATGCAAAGTACGGATTGTATTTTACTCAGGCACTTGGAGTTGTATAACTTAGTTCCTGTTAATTATGCAGTATAGCACTGAGAAGTCAGTCTTGTACTCCCTTTTTCTGTCCTAAGAAAATGCGTTTTAACATTAGAAAAATCAAACCTAGTATTTTAAAATTTTTCATCTGCTAGCAGGGCTGTGGGGTTTCATGGGATATGTTGTGTGTGTGAATTAATGCACATTTCTGACTGCAGATGTTTGCTGAAGGCATTTTGCTTGGGAGATTGCCATAAGCAATTGCCGTAAGAGGACTTGTGGATGTGCACTGTTTAGCAGAAACAGAGCCCACGTCAGCTAGTCGCTTGTGTATCATTAAACAAAGAATTAGAACATTACAAACATTGCGTTGGCAGAGATAACGACAAAACCAGGCAGAGGTAACAAATCACAAGAGTGATGTCAGGAGGGGAGAAAAATTGAAGCATTTGGGGAACTTGTTTGATAAGCGCTGTCTTCACTTTGCATTTCTTGGATTTCAGCTTCTTTTGTACTTTAAAAATTACTCTGGAGAGGTAATATGTACTCAAACCAAAATACACCTGCAATTTCAATTTTATCTCAATAAAGTTTTGAGGGCATTAGTTACTGAAGTGGTCAATGTGGCATACTTGAGTGGTCAATGTATGGATTAGAAGTGTGGTTTATTTTTCTAAGTAACGTGCTGATTCATGATATTTGTGCGTAGGGTTCTGAGCAGGATTCATAAAGGAGTAATATGTTGTTAGGTTTCTTGTGTCTTTAAAGGAGACTTACAAACAATATTATCTCTTCCTTTTGAAAAGTGTTTTCTGTTTCAGTTTATCATCACTGGTGTAGTCGGTTCACAAACATGGCTTACTGGATGGTTACTTTTTTTTCCTTCTTTACTTTTTTCTTACAAATGCACTGCGCTGCTGAATAAATGTCACGTGAGAGGTGGTCAATTTTTGATTTCCCCCCCCC